CCTCCCCCGCTCCTAGTTTCTATAAATAACCTCTTATGGCTTGTCATAGATTAAGCCACAAGCCAAGCAAGGTCAAGCCAAGTCATCTTCAAAGCTAAGAGAAAGAGAGGAAGAGAGAGAGAGAGAGGAAGAGAGAAAAGAAAATAAAGATTTTCTTATAAACGTCGAGGCGCTCGACAGTGTAATTCCTCAAAAAAATAAAATCCTCTGCAGCTCCATGAACATAGGCAAATTTGTCGAATCACGTAAATATGTGTGTCACTTTGGTATTTTTCTAAATGTAATTTTACTCGTTCCAATTTTTGTTTTATTTTCGTCATTTTTCACAACATATTTGATATTCAAATGTTGCAAAAAGTAGTTTTATTGTCCCAAATTTTTAAAAAATGCAACTGTATATTCAAAAATGAGTTTTTTAGTTGGCTTAATAGATCAAGCCCGCCAATTATGTATTGAGTTGTCTAGCGCTGAACAAGTTGATGGTACTCAATAGTCCCACCTTTGGAAGTGACACGCTATAGAGCTCCTTGCTTTCCAAAAGTATTTTGTGAATACATCCAAAGTATGTCAGTATTCCAGCGAGTTTCTCCGAATGGATCTACCCCCCTTCGATCTTCTAGTGAGTTATTTCAGCCAAACTCACCTGCATTACTCTAGTTTCAATACCTTACTCGTATGAATTGGTTGGTTCTTCTAACCAAACTTGCTGACTGTCACTTAATTACATCTTTGAACTCGACAAGCAGCTCTCCTAGTCTTAAGGAAAATAATTCCTCTTTGTCAGCATACATACCATAATTTATTAATTGCAGGACAATGCACACAAGCAGTCTTATCGACAACGAATCTGTTCATGCTCCGTACCACATATCCTCTAGTTTTATGTTTATCTTTTAAACCCATGTGCAGGTACATATGCTCATGAGTTTATAAATAAGAAAGAATTAGAAAAAAAGAAAAAAAAGGAGGTCTTTTTCTTACTCTTTCAATCATGCACCCTTCAAAACCTCTCTAAATCCCTTACTTTTTTTCACTCCACCAAAATCTCTCCCAGATTGTATAAACCCACGAATTATATGAGATCTCATGCACCAAAATGATTCAACACAGCTAACAGAGCACCCAAATGACATTTAATTGGTGTGACTTGAATGCACCACAAACAAAAACCCGTGCCAAATGCAGTCTTAAGAGATCAATTAAAAAGATCATTTTAACAATCAAAGTTAAATGAATCTGAGCCTGGCAAAAGAAAAAAACATGTCAATAAACATTTTGTATCAAAATATATTCATTGTCGTGATACAAAACTTTATATTCAACCTTCATATAATAAATACAAAACTATTACTTAAGATAAGAAAACTATGAGAAAATTGTTTTTAAACTAACAAAAAATTTATTTAAAAACCATTAAAATTTCACAAATATATCACAGAAAAGGTATTATAAATATCTAATATTTAAGTTTTATTATCCAAAGGAGAACCATCTTAAGCCCCATTTACAAAAAATTTGTGACTAAATTATCACTTTCATATAATTAGGGATTAGGATGGTCCCCTAAAAAAAGTTACCATTTTCCCACATTTTTTCTACATAAAATGCATTATTATTATTATTATAAAAAAAATCAATATTCTACTGCAGGCCAAGTTGTGACTAAATTATCACTTTCATATAATTAGGAATTAGGATGGTCCCCTAAAAAAAGTTAGGACCATTTTCCCACATTTTTTCTACATAAAATGCATTATTATTATTATAAAAAAAATCAATATTCTACTGCAGGCCAAGTAAAGACAATTTATAATAATTTCAATATTTTTTTGGGAATGATAAACCCCAATATTTTTAATTTTCTTTGTATCAGAATTAGCGCCCTTTTTTCAGCCAGTTATCCTGCCCTCACTTATTGGAATCCTGATGAATTTAAGATTGCATGAGCCCATTTACTATTATTTATGTCCTTTCTCATATTATTTATTTTATTAACTCTTTTAAATCTAAAAAAAATTCAAATAAAATTAAAGTTCGTTTGGGGCAGCTTTTTTGGTGCGGTGGCGTTTTGAAAACGCACCTGACCTGTTTGGGTGAACTGCATTTTGACAGCTTATGCATTTTCAAAACGATGAAAACAGTGTTTTCACATCACACATATAGATGCGGTGACAACTTTCTAGCAGCAGTCTGAGTTTTCCAAAAAAAAATAAAAATTTTTAATAGTCATCGCACCTAATTTATCAGCATATTATTTTTAATCAGCTTATCAACAGATTATTCAATAAGCTGCAGCCGCCCCAAACAGACCCTTAGTCTGATAAGCATAAAACTTTATCACTAATAAATTATAATTATTTAAATGAGTAAAATATTAATATAATCCAAGTTATTTACATGGGATCGTTCTAATCCCACGGTCTATAATCTGAAGAAGTGTCATATTAATCTTCAATTTTTTAAATTGGCATCAAAATAATCTCCACGAAAAATTATTCGAACTCAATTTCAAATAATTTGGAACTAATTTAATATTTTTTATAAATTCCGAGATTTAAATTATCCTGTATAAATAATTTGATAACTATTTCAACCTTTTGCTCTGGATTTTATAGCTGCTCTGCTTTGCTTGCCAATGGAGCTCATTCCCATAAGTGCTTACTGAGATGAACTCCCCCTCTCAGTTCCAGACATGCCAGAAAAAAAACGACATCCTTTCCAAATCCTTCATCCCATCTCCTCCATATCTGCATCCCTCAGGAAACAAACAAATATATTAAAAAACATTTTGATCGAAAACATAAAAAAATGTAAAAAGAGGAAGATTTGGTCAGAGTTTAACCGAAGATGTGAAGCTCCAGAATCAGCACAGAAATAAGCCCATGGAGGTCTCAAGGAGTTTGAAATGCTGGCAAGAAATGGTGACTGCGCAAAAGAGGAGGAAGAAAAAGAAGAAGAAGAAGAAGAAGAAGAGTGATTTGTTTTAGCAGCAAGAGAGATTTCCACATGCTTTCTTGAATGGTTCTTTCCTCTATGCATGTGTCTCTCACAAAAATTAGAATCAGGGTATGCTTCCTTCGAGCATCTTCATTTCTTGCCTGTGATAAATGAAGAGTAGAGCTGTCAGAAAAATTAGTTGTTCGCGAGTAGCTCATGTTCGGTTCATTCGTTGAGTAAACTAAACGAACACGAATAGTTTTCTTAAGCTTGAATTATAAACGAGCCAAACACGAATAATTATTTATTCACTTGTGTTTGGCTCGTTTTAGCTCGAAATAAAAAAAAAAACATATTATTATTTATATAATAATATATTATATCTTTTTTATATCTAAGTTTATATTATAACAGCTCATGTGACAATGTGATTATGTGTCTTATTTTACATAGATTTAGTCTAAGTTTGAATCCAACACTCTACATCTATTTTTTTTCAATTAAGTTTAACGAGCGAAGTTCGTGCCAAACACAAACATGAACATTTAAATTGAGCCGAGCGCAAACACACTTTTCAAGAGCCAATTTCAAGCACAAGCCGATTTCCAACATGAGCAATTTCAAATGAATCAAACACCAGCCAAGCCTTAGCTCGCTCAAACTTTGCTCGTTTACCTTCCTATTGAACAGAAAGGGACGAAGGCGTAATTTTCATGTTTTGAAGCCTTTTGGTGTAAATTATAATAAATGCGACCTCCATATATAAAAATTCTAAGTTATATACGGATATATCTACAAACTTTACAATTTTACTTGGAAAAATTACTCTATTCCACATATTTCGCACGCATATTTCACCAGCACTTCTGCGGCATTCATCGCCTGCATTGATGCCACGTCACGTGTCCGGGCCCACGGGTCCCACTACCTTATGAGCATTTATGCTTCAGCTCCGTTATCTCTCCGCCGCCGCAGCGTCGTCCCCTCGAAAAAGTAAAGCGACCGTCTCGCCAGCCCTTCGTTTCTTTCCTTAACTCCTGCAACTCGTACTCTGCAACTCTTTTCCCTCTCTATCTCTCACTCACTCACTCACATTAAGGACTCTATGGCCCGAAAGACCTAAATAAACCTTGTGGAGATAGTTCTGTAATGTCGTGAGTAGTTATGGGAAGAAAGAGCAGAAGCTCATGGCTGACGGCGGTCAAAAGAGCCTTCAGGTCTCCCACAAAAGACTCAGAGAAAAAGTCTGCGCATGAAGAGAACGACACTAGCAAGGTTTTTGTTTCATGGCTGCGTGCAGACAGCATTCCTCACTCTTACTCTGTTACTCTTCTAACTTTCTTCCAATTTTGGCTCGCAGAAGAAGGAGAAGAGGAGATGGTTATTTCTCAAGTCTTCGAGCAACGGTCAGCAACAGCAACCAGTTAATATAAATCAGCCGCCTGCGGTGGTGGTAACTCAGGAGCAGAGGCGCGACATGGCTTTAGCCGCCGCAACTTCTGCGGCTGCCGAGGCCGCCTCAAGCCGCCGTGGAGGTGGTCCGGTTATCCAGACCATCGGATTGCTTCGCGAGGGAGCATTACTTCGCCATTGTTATCCAAACGGCCTTTCGTGGCTACCTTGTGCGTATTCCATTCGTCTTCCTCTTTATGTTTCTTTTTCCTCTGCTTCGAGATGTAAACAGAAAGTTCTGGCTTTTTTTGTTTTTTTCATTGTGATAAAGGCAAGGAGGGCTCTTCGGGCGTTGAAGGGGCTGGTAAAGCTTCAAGCTTTGGTTAGAGGGCACAATGTTCGGAAGCAAGCTAACATGACTCTTAGATGTATGCAAGCGTTATTGAGAGTTCAGGCGCGAGTTAGGGATCAGCGCATGCGGTTGTCTCAATCACATGACGCCGCTCATTGCAGTAGCTACAAGTCTTCGCTAAGCTGCGACACCAATATCGGAGACTTGAGATATCTTCAGAACTTCGTCGAGAGGAGATCTATAGTACGATACAAAAACTGTTTCATCGTTTTTTCAAGATTATGTATGTTCTCCTCCGTTCAAATTTCGGATTTTTTTTTTCTTTTAGAACTCGAGAGAAGGAAGAATATACGCCGAAAACTGCGACGACCATCTCCATACCATAGAGGATATCCAGGCGACGCCGAAGATTAGGAAAGAAGATGGATTGAGAAGAGAGAAGGCAAAATAATTTGTTTGCGCAACAAGTAACTCTGCCGCCGCTGTTTTTCTGTGTTACTAAAAAAAAAATACCTTTTTTTTTCTTTTCTTTTTTTTTTGTTTTGTTTAGATTTGGAGATCAGATATCAGTCTCTCTCCATCGGTGGATAACATTGAGCCAGAAACAACGCCATCGAGGTGGCTGGAAGGGTGGATTGCCTCACGAACATCCTTCGACAACCGAAGCAGCAGCTGGGGAAGAGGATCCACTGACCACCGCGACCCAATCAAGACACTTGAAATCGACACTGCTCGGCCATTCTCCTACACTGCATACCGCCGGCATTCTCCGGGTGCGCCTCCTATCAAAACTCAACCCCACCACTCTCCTGCAACTCCATCACCATTAAAGGCGCCGCCTTTACAAGTTCGCTCCGCGAGCCCTCGCTACGCCCACACACCAAGCTTATCAGCGGCCCGTGCTGTGCCGAACTATATGGTGGCGACGGAGTCTGCGAAAGCGCGGCTGAGATCTCAGAGCGCTCCCAGGCAGAGATTGGCAACGCCGGAGAGGGAGAGGGAGAGGGTGGGATCAGTGAAGAAGAGACTGTCGTATCAGGTGCCGGAAGTTTACTGCGGGAATAGTTTAAGAAGCCCGAGCTTCAAGAGCGCAATGGCGGGGCCTGGATCGGAGCAAAGTTCGAATTTTCTATCGATGTATACAGAGAGCGAGGTATCGCCGTCTTCGACGACGGATCTCCGGCGGTGGATGCGGTGATGAAAAAATGGATTTTTCTGATTTGATTTGTTGCTTTTTTATTTGGTATTGTTGTATGGTGTTGGATTGTCTGTTTGTTCGCTCTGCTTTTAGGGATCTTTCGGTGACTAACTAATGGGGCGACAGTGGTTGTTGGTGGTGGCTTGTTTCATTTTGGATTTCTGATTAAATTGTGCTGAATGAATGAATGAATCATGTGCAACTTTCTTTTCTTTGTTTTTCAGTGGAAAGTGGAGTCAGGACTTACTATTATAAATAATTTGTTTGAATTTTGATCACTGTTCCAGTTGCTGTTTTATCCAAAGGTGATGCATATTGAGAAGTTCTTGCTTTATTTGTCCAGAATTCAATTATTGCTTTTTTTTTAAAATAAATATGTGCATCAAATCACTTTCATATCAAAAACAAAATAAATTAAATTTTTTGCACTAATATCTATATTGTATTGGTTTCCATTCTCTTGCTCAGTCTAGTACAAGAGCAGAATGGATGGATTGTATGCTATTGGGTGCTTGTGAATTCTTGACGATAAAGTGAGATACTAAAAAAAATTAACATGTTTGCGTGGAAAATCCGAAAAAGCAAAAATTATGGGGCCAACCCAAATGAAATGATTTCACCTTGCTGAAGTAGGTAACAAAACGTTACAAAATCTTGAGTAGCCGGAGGCAATTTTACAAAAGTAGGAAGTTGCTTTTGCTAGGAAAATAATAGAAAATATTGAAGAGGTGGTGATGACCCGCCTTGTGCTAAGAAAAACCAATGATAAGAGTTGTGTGCCAAAAAGATTGTTGTCAGTGTCTTTGGTAGTGGTGGCCAGACGGCGATGGCCGAGAGTGGTGGTCTGGCAGAGGCAACAACTTGAGGACAAGGGTGGTTTCATTGTGGTGTTGGCTTAATGGCGGTGGCGGTGATCGGACATTGGTGATTCCGAGGTGACAGCAATCGATCACAGTGGTCAGGCAGCGGCGATGGTGTTTCAGATGTGGCAGCTACTCAACGGTATTGTCCAGTTATGGCAGTGGAGATTGTGGTCGGCTCAACAACAACTGTTGATCAGCGGCGATTTGATGGTGGTGGCGGCCAATGTTGGTGACTTGGAAGTGGCAATGGTGCTCCGACAAGGGTAGTTGCTCGACGACATTGGTCGAGAAGCTATAACGATGGTCTGGTGGTGGTGGGGGCTCGACCGCAGCGGCCAGGCAACATTGTTCTTGCAGTGGCGGTGGCTTCGAAGTGGTGTCGATGGTCTGGCGATGGCAGCGGCTCAATGGCAATGACGATCCGGCTGTGGCGACAACCGATAAACAATTACAGGGAAGTAATGACAGTGGTTTTTCGGTGGCGGCGATGAGCAAGCAACAGTTGTATGGCAGTGAAGACATCAATTCAGCAACATTCCGATGGTGGCGAGGCTCTGGAACCCTCAAGAAGGGTGCTAACGTGTCGATTCAAGCTCGAGCCATACCAAGCTCGAGCTCGACTCTTTTAGCAAATTTAGAGCTCGAGCTCTATTTCGAGTTTAATGGCGAACTCGAGCTTTGGCTCGTACTGGTAGAGGTCGGCTTGAGAGCAGGCTCACAAGCTTGAATTGAAAACTCCATTTTCACAGGAGCTAAATGGAAAAAATATTGGTGGCTGGAGGAGGAGAAAGAGGAGGAAACAGGAGCTCACTAAAATGCATCCAAATACCAACTCATGAGCCAACGAGCCGAGTCAGGATGAGCTCAAGCTCATTTAATAAATGAGTGTCAGTTTGAGCTCGAGCTTGAGCTTGTGGCTCGATAAGTTCGACTCACTAGCTCGTTAACGAGCCAAGCTTGAGCCAGCAGGCTCAGCTCATTTGCACCACTGCCCTCAAGTGTTTAAATCTCCTTCAACTTTCTCTTCCAAGTTCAGGTCCCAAATCCCCTTTCATGAAGAGAATGGGGTTTATTTATAAATTTTACGAGTAGCCTCTATAAATATTGTATGATTCTAGCCCACATAATCGGACGGCTAAAGCGATCCCTTTGATCGTATATTGTACAATGAGCATTCGAGTGCATGTTGATATTAGAATTGAGTGATCTTGTGCTCATTAGATTCAGTTCGATGAGACACTCGATTTGGTTATAAGCTAGTCAGGTTAAAATCAATTTAATCATTCAATTGTCCATCCAATGCCTAAAATTACACTAAAATGACTTGATCCTAGCTTGACTAAACTTATGTTGAACCAATTTTAGCTTCATTGAGCTCGTCTTATTGAGACAGTCAGTTTGAATATAAGTTTGTTGGAACATGAGTTCTAGATAAGCTTGAATTTAAATCTGAAACATTTATTATTCAAAGTATTTTGTGATTTGTGCATGACTAAAACAATTTCTTAATAATGTATCATATCCATATCTCTCAAAATTTTAAAATTTTATATATTGCACCTCCATATTTCTAATATTGCACCATTGAACATCTTGATAACAGCATTCGGAAAAGACGAGCTTGAGCTCTTGTACAGGCTTAGCCTGATCAAGCAAAATCTAAACTCGGCTTGACCTGACTCTTTTACCTGCCTAGCGTTGGCCAATCTATGCCATTATCTACTGGGCTAAACTCAATGAGTGATGTCCTATTGTTCCTCCGTAGTATATAATTTATGTAAGAGGTATGTAAAGTATAGAATTTTGAGTGTTGTTTATGTAAATTACCCAACTTTAAACTAAAAGAGTAAAGACATGTGACCACATAGGATTAGAGAGGAGCATTACGATTGGCATTAAGAAGAATGCTTGAAGGTTGCAGAGCCCGCTGACACGGACAAAAGGTCTCACATCAGCTAGGTATAGGGCCGAAAAGCAGTATTTTAGTCCTGGGCTGCCCACCACCCCGCATAGCTCTCGAATAGCTCTTTTGGGATGTGACAAGTGGTATCAAAGCAGAAGCTCTTGTACGGGCTTAGCTTGATCAAGCAAAATCTAAACTCGGCTTGACTTGACTCTTTTACATGCCTAGCGTTGGCCAATTTATGCCATTATCTACTGGGCTAAACTCAATGAGTGATGTCCTATTGTTCCTCCGTAGCATATAATTTATGTAAGAGATATGTAAAATATAGAATTTTGAGTGTTGTTTATGTAAATTACCCAACTTTAAACTAAAAGAGTAAAGACATGTGACCACATAGGATTAGAGAGGAGCATTACGATTGGCATTAAGAAGAATGCTTGAAGGTTGCAGAGCCCGCTGACACGGACAAAAGGTCTCACATCAGCTAGGTATAGGGCCGAAAAGCAGTATTTTAGTCCTGGGCTGCCCACCACCCCGAATAGCTCTTTTGGGATGTGACAAGTGGTATCAAAGCAGATTATGCCAAGTGTGTGGACTCTCCATGGTCCAGTAGGACCCTCAGTGAAGTCGATCCGTGACGAGAGCGTCGCGTGATTGGGTGAAGGTGAATGTCACGGACAAAAAGTCCCACATCAGCTAGGTGTAAAGCCAAAAAACAGTATTTTAGTCATGGGCTGCCCACCACCCCGAAGAGCTCTTTCGCTGAAAAACGGTATTTTAGTCATGGGTTGCCTACCACCCTGAATAGCTCTTTTGGGATGTGACAACTAGTACCAGAGCAGCTTACTGTATGTCAAGTGTGTGGACTCTCCATGGTTCAGTGGAACCATCGGTGAAGCCGATCCGTGACGAGAGCGTCGCGTGATTGTGTGAAAG